TCTGGATCAATCACGATTAATTACAATCAATTATAATCCAAGATATATATATATATAAAATTTGAACATATTTCCTGAGCACTGATGTCACAAAGTCCAAAATAATTTGTTGTGTTGAATAAATGCAGAAGCCGTTCTCACCCTCAGTGATGTAACTACATGAATTCCCTATCACCATGTCAGACTGGATATTTGTGGTCATTCAAATCTGAGACATTTCCATAGGATTACTTATATATACTAATTAATATAATTAATATACTAATTATCTGTAGTTTTCATGATTTTTCATTGGAATGGAAAGAAATGGAAGTCATGAACTCCTGCAGACACCACATGCTGCCCCGTCGTCCAAGTTCCTAAACACAATTCAAATCGCCTTTTTTTTTCAACCGTCCCCCACCTTCTTCACTCACATCTCTTCCTTGAAAACAAGTAAATAAATAAATAATAATCATTTGTTTGCTTTGCAGTAGGTGGTGTGTGCAGCTTATTAAAACCCACTGGTGTCTAAAAAAGCCCAGTATTCTAATTGCTGTCAAATACCAGGTATTTACACAGATAGCAGCCAAGATGTCTGCTATGTTTCTGAGTCTGCCAGTCAAAGCGTGTTTACAACAATTGTCAGCTGTTTGTTCCTGTTTACAGAAATGCTCTGGGAAAGAAAAAAAAAAGGCTGCACATGCACTGGTGAGGAGAAAAGGAATTTCGAAGATAACAAAGTGAAACAACAAAATGTCGATTCTTGCTCTTTTTTGTTCTTTGCCCTAAATTGGTGACAGTTCTCCTGTTTACAGACTCGTCCCTGTTGAATTTCCATGCAGAGTTGGAGAACGTGTTGTGGGAGAGCTGCACTCATGCATTTTCATGCATCTGATTGGCGTAACCCACTGGGCGTCTCAGTGATCAGTCACCGTTGGTGTGAGCCAGCCAATCATTTAAACCTCGCCCTCTTTTTTTTTCAGTGAAGAATTCTCAGCAAATCTCTCTCTATTGCTCTTTTTTTTTTCTTTCATTCTCGTTCTTTTTGTTCAGGCTCTGAAAGCAGGCAGTGCTCAGAAAAATAGACTACCGACCAGCCCCTTCATTCTCCTTACTCCTGCGCTTTTTCTCTATCATTTTGAGCCTTTTCTCCTCCCGGAGGCGGGCCTCCTCCTCCTCCTGGTCCTGCCGGCACTTGTGGAAGTTCTCCACCACCACGCCGACAAACATGTTGAGGACGAAGAAGCTGACGATGAGCAGGAAGGAGATGAAGTAGAGCAGCATCCATGGGTTGTGGTTTCTCACAGGCTGGGAAAAGAAAAGCGGAGAGGAATAGGAAAAAAACATTTGGGATTGAGGATTAGGATTAGTGTGATAGGGTTTGGAAATGGAGATGATTTACAGGTAGAATAAACAGTAACTTCAGGAACTTGTTCTTAAACGTAAAGCAGATAAACCACCATTTCTACCCTGCAGGGGGTGCTAAATACATGTCCTAAACCATGTCTAAAGTGCCTAAGTTAGACAATATCGTTTCATATAAACCTCATGTGTAACTCAGTCAAATGGCCCCCTACAGGAAGTACTGCGTTGTTCACACACTGTTACCTGTTGGTCCACTCCCACTGCGTCCAGCCCGTCGTACATGATGTTGACCCAGCCGTCCTTACACGACAGCACAAACAATGACATCAAGGCCTGGATAGAAAGTGGAGAAAAAAAAAAACTTTTTTTTTTATATTTAACTCAAACTAATTAAATATCAGAACAAGAACTACAACATGAAGTTAGAAAAACCATTAAATCTGATCCTGGACTAACGTGGACATCAGTCCGTCTGTACCTGGATCAGGTTGTCAAAGTTGTACTTCCTCCGTATCCAGCGGTAATTGGCCTGCAGACAGTCCGACTTGTTGGTGACGTTTTTAGTGTCCAGACCTTCACAGTGGTAGAACTTCCCTTTGAAGAGCTGAGGTGTGGAGATAAGGAGAGGAGCTGTGGTTGGTCGAGGTGCTTGGCTGCCGTTTGCACATTATCTCTATTGCACCAGTGCTTAGGGCTCCTGTTTCGTAACATCAAGGGCATTTCATTTAGCATGATCTTATCAGTGGCTGGGATTGAGAGCTCTGCTTAAGGACCCTAGGGTCAAACTGTGGCTTTTTACATAACCTACTTGTCATTCTTCTATCATCACACTCCAAAAGGACATAAAGTCCTCCACTAAACATTTAAGACATTCATAATAATCCCTAGCTCAAAGCTCACATGTAGAAGAAATGATTTGAAAACAAATATAGATATATGGATATATGTATGTATAAATAGAGGAGATAAAACAGGTCTTTGTCAACTACCTGAACCCCCAAGATTCCAAAGACAATAAAAAATGCGCAGCAGATTAGGACAATGTTCCCTATAGGTCTAAGAGAGGTGATGAGAGTTTCTACAACCAGCTTCAACCCTGGGGCTCGACTGATAACCCTGAAAAACACAATGATCAAAACAAAGAGCGCTGTAACCACAAGCACATCAAACAGCATACCTGCAAGCACATATCAAACATGGTACAAAAAATAGAATGTCATAAAGGAAAACATAAAGATCTGTACCATGTTCATTAATGGTGCAAAATTAAGCACAAATGTTATGACGTTCACCTGAGAGGACGTAGTGTTCGCAGCAGGCGCAGGACTCTGAGGATGCCCAGGATCCTGTTCCCGCCGGTGTAGGCCAGAGAGACCAGGATGTCAATCAGAGACACAAAGACTAACACACCATCCAGAACGTTCCAGCTGGATTGGAGGTAGCTCTGATTTCCAAAGCAGAAACCCAGAGCTACAACCTGCAGGCGGAGTACGGAAAAAGACTTTAATTCAAACGGTGAAGACAGTGGAATCACCGGAACACGAGGAGAGTCTCACTGACCTTAATGAACATCTCTGCCATGAAAATCACAGTGAAAACATAGTTGGACACACTGAGAAAGACTCGCTCCTACAGTGATTAAAAAAAAAAAAGAAATAATAAAATGTTGCTGTTAAATTTAAAATCTTTTGATTCCGTCCATCCACCTCTGATTTGTTAGTTCTTAAAATAATTTCAGGTTTCCTGCGTCTCACCTTGCTGTTGGAAGGGATGTCGGGTCTTTCGAGTGCGATGGTGATGCAGTTGAGAAAGATGAAAACCAGGACCACATGGTCAAACATTTTGTGGGAGATCACAGCTTGGCACCTTATACGGAATCTGAACACGCACACACACATAAACACACTTAGTCATTTATAAATTAAAATATATATATATATATATGTACACAGAAGAAGACATGGTTTTGTGTTCTCTCTCCTCACTCCCACTTCCTATAAAACTAAACCGCCACTGAAACAACGTTGAAACTCACTGGTTTTCTGGGGAGAACAGATACAGCGACCATTCTTCGTGTTCTTTGCACCAGTGAGGCTTCATGTTACGGAGCTCCTTCTTGATCCAGTAACAAAAAGAGTTCTGCAGTGACAGAAGTAGAAACATCCATGAGACACTGGTTCATCAAACATAAGACAAATGTTTGTGTAAGGTTGATTATTTATATGGGAGTGGACGTGGCTAATTTAGTCTCTGTCTTGGTATTCATCACTGCAAAGTGTTGAGGAACCAATTAGAGGAGTTCTACATTATGTACAACATTTCCTCTATTGTTTTGTGTGTTTATTTTATTTGTTGTTTGTTTTTTCTGTTCGACAGCATTTAAATAATTTGTAACCTCCATAAATACTGTAGTATTCATGGAGTATTTATTACTGAAGTGAAAAACTGTTCAAGTGTGCAGTAAAAACAAACATTAAAAAATTGTAGCTTTAACCAGCCTTTAATTAAAAAAAGCCAAAAGTCAGGCTGCTGGGAGCGCTGGCTTCGTCACAGGCTGTGAGTGTGTGTGCGCGTGTTTTTGGGTATGTGTGTATAACACACACACACAGCAGTTATAATAGGCCTGTATTAAGCCTCCTGTGTTCAGCATGTCAGGGGAGGCTTATTTTGTCTTAGTGGATTTCATGGGTTCACAAACTCAATTTGGAACCAATAAAACCCAACAACGCTGTCAGAACAGAGGTCACACTAAACCAGAGGGGGAGTCCACCAATCTCCAGCTCTCTCTAACACACACACACACACACACACACAAATGTGGAACTACATGCATGCCTGTTGTTTTTCCTCCCTGAGAAAAAAATAATTACTCAACTCTCTGATCAATTACAGCGCAGCAGCCAAATCCCTGTGGACTTTACACACTACAGCATCTCCACATTAGAGGCCGAATAAAAAAAGAAATTGGTTTTTAATCATTAAAAAACCCATTAATTTCTGCAGAAATATTTGAATCCCCAAAGTAGTGGAAATAGCACCGAGCTACTCTGATCAGCGCCTCATCATGGAATTTTCTAGTTTGGAAATTTTGGATTAATCCTGAAATGTCATTGTCATTGTTTCAGTTTCTCACTGCATAATAATTGAAATGTGATTGTTTCAGTTTCTCACTGCATAATAACTGGGCCACTCCCAGGTTGTGTCTGGGCGTTATGTGGACCATTGGCCTCAGTTTGAATGAGCCGACATTAAGGTTGACCTACATCATCATCCATGTCATCTTCTGGTGCGGAGTCGTCCTTGCTGTCTGTGGATTGCACGTTGGGGTTGTAGGTTATGGACCTTCCGTTACAGTCGCCGTACTCAGCCATGATGGTCGGCATGAGTGTGGACGCCTGCAGCACCTCAAAGGCGCCGGGTCGTAACCTGTTGCTCCCACTATTCTCCCCCTGCTCCCCCACCACCTCTTCTTCTTCTGCCCCTTCTCCAGATAACAGACTCTCCCTCTCTCCACTGGTGTCTCGTCTCTTGAGGCTGGGCGCTCTTCCCAGGCTGTTCCAGCTGGAGCGGCGACTTCCCCAGGAACTTCCCGGCCCACGGGGAGGAAGAGGGGACCGTCGGCCAGGACTAGAGAGGCTCTGGGGGGAGAAAAAAAATGACAACATTAATGTGAGTCACAGTTTTGCCAGTGTGATGGAGGACTGAACTTACCAGAGAATACTGGTCATAGGCTGAAGGGTCCATGGAGGCGGAGCTGCCACGGCGAGACCCACTCCCCGACTCAGAAAATCCCAGTCCTGCCTCTCCAAAGGGATTTGTTCCCACAAGATCCTCGCCCAGGATGGAGTCTGGGCCGAGAGAACCCTTGGGAGTGGGCATGGGTGTAGCTGCTGTTCGCATAATGATGGGAGGGGCTACTGAGCCTCGTGGATCGACATGACCGTTAGCCGTCATCATCAGTGAGTACATTTTTAGCTCTATAAAAAAACAGACTGACGAGTCAATTTGATCATCTCGGAGAACGGACGAGAACTGAACCTGAAGGATCGTCCGACGGTTATTTTACCGGTTTCTCTGAGCTGCTCCACCTTTTCATCCTCCTCAAAATTGTCTGATTTCTTCTCATCATCTGACTCCGACCGATTGGCATCACCCTGCAGAGCAGAAACACATTCACGGGGCCTAAGTTAGTTGACTGTTTTGCAGTTGAAGTGAAACTACCTGCAGCATGACATAATAACAGGCCTGCACAGGAAATAACTGATTATCTGAAAATGTGAGTGAGCATACGTGACAGGTAGTAATTCTCCCTTCCTCCTCCCTCTATCCTCTCCTTTGAGAGCAGCTGTGCCGTACATGATGTGACAGTCACGTGACCCTGGTCTAAGTCTGTTGGGAGCTAATTAACGACGGAGGAAGTTCCGCTTGCAGCATACGTAAATGTACTGGGATGAGCGACACTGTTCGGAACTACGTGATGATCTTTACTACCAGATCAACGTCTCACCTCCGCTTGGAAGCCCTCGACCAAGATGGCTACCAGCAAATTGAAGAGCACGTAGTTGCCAAATGTCATGAGCGCCACGAAGTAGAGAGCGGCCCAGGGAGAGGTGGAGGCCATGCCGTTGTACAGCACCACATTCCAGTCCTCCTGAGTCAGAATCTGTGAAGAAAATGAAGAAAACATCGTCAGCCCGGGAGTCTCTAGATCTGTAGACGTGAGACGACAAATGTTAACAAAGCAGAGAAGAAACGTTGACAGTGAAAATTCAAAACTTATACGGCGACATGGTGTGGTTATGTTCACCACAATACAAACTCAGAACGGTAATCTGTGGAAGCTGACAAAGAACAAATGGAGTGCATCCAAAAGCAGTGTGTGTGTGAGTGTGTGTGTGTTAGTCATGTCGTCCCTGTGAGGCTGGATTTTGTGTACACTGGAAACTTCCCCATCAGAAAATAAACTTTAAAAAGTTCCAGAGACTTTTTCTGACGCCCTCGTATGACAGTAAGTTCTAAATAAAACGCCTCATCAGCATCTCAGGTGAACCAGCCTGCTGCATTATGTGTTCTCGCTTTTCCGCTGACACATCCAGTATAAAAAGGAGGACAGTCCATGGTATCTGGGGTAATTCAACAATGTCTTCACATGGGAGAAGTTCAAAATAAAACAGTAATAGAGTGACGTAATATGAGTACTGTGAAATTCCTCTTTTCATAACTATATTATTTTGCAGTATTTGGCAACTCTGAAGTTTATTGCAGTGTTCGCCTTTTTAACATTTGGAGAGTTAGCATAAAAGCTTGGAGTGTTTTTTTTTTCTTTGCCTAATGTGTCCCGTTTCAAGGCTCTTTTAAAGAGAGTCTTACCTGGAATACAGTCACAATGGCCCAGAGCAGAGAGTCAAAGTTCTTGCGGTCAGGTATGGTGTCTCCATTCTTCATCTGGACACTGAACTTACACCCAAACAGATGCATTCCTAATATACTGCAAAGAGAGATAAAAAAAAACCCAAAATAGACATGAGATGAGTTGAAATGGTTTTAAATATTTGGTTTATTTTTTAAAGACAAAGGAACTGAGAACAAACCTGAAGGTGAAGATGAAGAGCATTAGCAGCATACAAAAGGTGGCCACGTTGTCCATGGTCTTCATCAGCACCACCAACTGTCTCCTCAGGGCGGGAAGGAAACGGACCAGCTTCAGGACCCGCAGCAGCCGGAACGTTCGCAGGACCGACAGCCCGCCGTCCGACTGGCCAATGATTTCCCACACACTGAGAACGGCCGACGAAACACAATGTAGGAATATATGGTTAGCAACTGGAGTTTCCTTCTGCTGTATACAGTACACACCATTTTTGTGTACGTGGAAATAGTGCTGTACGTTGACTCATTTACTGGAGAGACAGTGTTTTCATGTCAAAGCTCTGCTTACTTTCTGTTCAGCTCGCCATTTTAACTTAACTTTTATTATTTGATTTTATTACCTTCAAGCCTGTTGACTAAGTATTGAAACCCAACATAAAAAGTATCAGTATGGCACTCAGAGTACACCGCTGAAAATACTCGTTTGTAAAAGATTGCACTGGGACCTAAAAACAATTGAAAATCTGAACTAGACTCAAACAATAAAAAAAAAAACCAGGGTTTCTATTTTTTGTTGTACATTATGTGTTTGTCCAGGGTCCCCTGATCCAGTATGTGATACATCAACTTAAATGACAAGTGAAAAACTCCTGACAGAAGTAAAGATCTGCTGTGACAGCAAGCAAATGTCGCTCCGATGTGATCCATCAAGACGGTGACAGTGTGAACTACTGCAGAGATGGAGTCTGAGCCAGTGAACGTGACACTGTAAACTTAATTAAACCAGCGAAAAAACAACAACAACAACAACAACAACGATTCGATTCTTAGTCGTGCTGTCATTTGTCACGTGGCAGTAATCCAGTCTGTGGTTCAAAACCCATGTTTTATTATGGTTCCAGAATATTTCAAAGACAGGAAAAAAAAGTCAGATTATTACCTTATGATAACGATGATGCTATCAAAAATGTTGTATGGATTCCTGATGTAGCCAAACAGGCCAAAAGCCAGGATCATGAAGGCCATCTCCAGGACAAACATACTGGTGAAAACAATGTTACTGATCTCCAACACATCAGTCAGCTCTTCAGGCTGCAGGAACAGGAAGAAAAAGGTGAAGAAAAAAATAAAGTCAGTAAATTTCTCAACCGCCATTTTCCCCATTTGGTAAAAACCTCTTGGTCTTAGTGCAGTGAACTGAGACATTTTCAATCAATGTCAGAGCAGCAGTCAGACCTACTCAATCAAAAGAGACCGGCGGCTTCCATCTATCACTGCTGCCCTCGACCTCGCTCTACAGTCTATAATTCGACCAACTCATAAAGCACACAGACCGGCTGTTCATGGAAGTCACAGTCATTCTGGTTTGGATGGAAGCCTCATGGCACAACAGTATTTCACTACAAAATCAAATATTTGATCTTATAGTACTTTATAAGTACTATAAAATAGTACTTTATAGTATAGTAGAAGAAACGCCTGAGTAGATTTCTTATTTTTTCCAGGAAAACGATAAAAAAAGAAATGAACATAAGAAATGTCTTTTCTTATTTTTCTTTTTTCTTCTGTTTTTAAAGCACTTAAAAATGAACCATTTTAAAACAGAAAAAAATTCTACTAAGTTTTGCAAGAGGTTTTGAAGTAGTTCCATCAGATATTTTTTTCTTTTTCCAAAAAACATTTGAAAAGAACTGGATGTCAGGCCTCAGACGAGGCAGACAAAGAACATCCCCAGAATTCTACAAAGAGGAAAACGCTGTTTGCAGAAGTATTGAGACATAAACCAAGGTTAAGCAGAGAAACAGCTGCATGGAATTGATTTCAGTAGCTTTCTGATGACCCTGGGTTTCTACCCTACAAACCTGTCCTTTTCCCATTTTTATAATTCTTTGCTGTTCCTCACAGTTCTCATTACAATCATCTACCGACGACTGGATCTCCTTAAATAATGAATAATTGTATTCTGTCTAAACTGCTGGAAAACTGCTGCCTCAAACGCACCGGCAGTCCGAGCCATTAAACCTTTCTCCTTCTCCATAGCCAACCTCAGGGAGTAGACCCAAAGCTCATAATATATCCTGACCTGTGGTGGATATTAAAGCTGACCGACTATATTCTGGATCATTCTGGGCACGATGACATGATAAATGTGACTAGTCAGTTTTTAATGACCATTAACCCCCTCCCCCCATGCTTCCAGTGTTGCCTGTGTGATGGCACCAATAATAAAAAAAAATAATAATCAATGAATATATACACAGTAGAGTGCAGTATAAAAATGGCTCATCAATGTTGTCTCTGTAGTACTCCTTTCAAGGTTGATTATAATCTTTTTAGGCAAAAAAACTATAATGTTATTATTTGAATTTTGAATGTTTCTGTGCTTAATTTATCCTATTTATATTTTTATTGTGAGATTGTATGTAATCATATTTTTTATATTTCAGAAAAATATATTTTTTATGATTTTTTCTTCCATAAATTGTATGAAGGCTTCATTTTAGATAAACACATTTCATTAAAAAGAAATAAAGACATAAATAACCCATTAATAATACCAATGTTTTGAGATACAACTAAGGTTGAGGACACTGGTCGCAGATAGAGGGCGCCATAGTCCACAGCAAACCAGACGTCAGACATCAACATTTAAACATTTACGCTAAAGCTAGAACTACTCGAAACTATATTTGAGTCTTTGTTACACTGTAGTACTGACAAAGTACTGTGTTTCTGTAAAGTTCAGCTCCAGACCTGTGTATATTCAACAGTTCTGCTGCTATTTCTGGGCTAATGAGCTGTTAAATTAATTGGGACCAATGAGAAGTGGATAGCCTTGTGCAAAACGAAAAATACAGTGATGTGATGTGGTGGGACTGAACCTGGAGGCCCATAAACCCCCATGAAAGTACTTTATAAGAGCTTTAATAGAGCTCTCTACTTCCTCCACTATTATAAACACACACGGCGTGTGTATCATTGTACTAAAAGACAAAGTACAATGTTATTAAACGGTGGATTGATGGGGGGTGGGGGGGTATTATCTCTGCGAACCACAGAATAAATATATACACATTTGAAGCTGTGTATAGAATGATATCTGAAGGGCATTACAGTCGGGAACAGAGGGTCTGAAGAAGTAAATCTGTTCGTACAGTGAGCTGGCAACGTGGGAAACATTAAAGTGTTGGCAGAAAACGGGAGGGAATCTCGTCCAAAGCTTCGGGCTAACATTAAAAAAATGGACAAAGAGGGGAAAAAATGTTGGTAGCTCTGATAGCTACTGATATGATATAAGTATGGGTTCATATAAGTGAGTTCAAACATTCACGTTGCTGATGTCATCACGCTGAAATGAGCTCTGTGTCTAATACTGTTTGTTTTCAGTCCATTACTGCAGTAGCTGTGTACTGAGACATAAGTCGCCATAAAAGTCAAGTATACGCTGCCCATAACACAAAGTTTTTACTTCTGAGTCAATTATGCAACAACAATATACTGTAGATCCAGCCGTTAAACCTGACTGAGGCTGTACTTTTACCTCCGCTTTTTATAGACTCCTTCACACATCTACATCAAGTGCAGCAACGGGACGCCAAAGACGATAAACTCTGGAGAGTGGAGGAACTTTTACACAACGTCCACTTCACTCTGTCTCTCTCTGTGTCTCTCTCTCTCACTCTCTCTCTCTCTCTCTCTCTCTCTCGGAGTGTGTGTTGATGTGTGTTTCTGTTTCATTTTGGCCCAATAAGGCCGTGGATCTTCCAGCTCTTGCTGGTGTTTACATCACAAAGAAGGAGACACACACACACACACACACCAACTCCAGAAAAAGAGAGGACAAAAGGGAGGAAAACGACGATGTGCAAACAAACCAAAAAAACTGTTTGTCCTTCTATTCTCCCGTCTCTCAGAAGATAAATAAACCACTTTTCCTCAGTGTGCCAAAAAAACCCCAACATCCTCACTCGAGCGTAACAAAGAAATACAGATAACAGCGTCTGCACAAACCCATATATTTGAGCGTGTGAGACAGGGAGAGGGAAGTGGTGTTATTATGATGATTTGGCCTATAATTCCCAGATGTGGGCCACACCAAAGGAAAAAAAGGACTGTGACGTGTGCAGCTGTGTGTGGAGAGTTACATATTTGAGTCTGAGAAAGTGGAAGAACGTCACTCTGTTTTCTAAACTTCTAATCTTTAAATGTCTTCCTTCTGGCTTCAGTCCAAGTATCCAACCCAGTCCAAGTGTCCAACCCAGTCCAAGTATCCAACCCAGTCCAACTGTCCAGCCCAGTCCAAGTGTCCTGTCCAGCCCAGTCCAAGTGTCCAACCCAGTCCAAGTGTCCATCCCAGTCCAAGTGTCCAGTCCAGTCCAAGTGTCCAGCCCAGTCCAACTAATAAAAGAGTTATTATTTCCACTGCTCACCTGCTCGTGGTACTCTATCCCCATGCTGAGAGTATTGACCAGGATGGCGATCATGATGCCCCGGTTGAAGTATTTACTCTCAACAATCCTCTTTAGTTTTTCCTTGAAGTTGAACCAGGCTCGGAAAACGCCGTTCTTGTACTCCACCACTCCTCTCCGCCTGCTCCGACCTCTTCCACCTCTCAGCTCTGCCCCCTGGAGGAAAGAGAATTTTAGACTGAACCGACAGAGGAATTTTTTCTTTTTCTTTTTTTTTCTTTTTACCCTATTTTCTGTAGTTTGTCTGGTCCTGCTACTTATATGGAGAGGCATCTCACATTGCAGTCCAAAACTGGACCCCCATATAGTGGACCCCCATATAATGACGTTTAAGAAATCAATAATTAACAAAGAATTATAAAAACTTCCTGAAGGACATTCAGCAATGTCAAAGTACTCACTATCTGATACACTTGTAGTATATATTATTTTGCAATAAACCTGGATAAATTACATTTATATTAATTTTTTCCATAATTCCACCGTTCATTCCAACCTGGGGGAAGTCATGAAGCCCGTCCGACTCTCCCCCTCTGCCCCCCTCAAAGTCGCCCAGCTCCAGCTCCAGGGTCTCCAGGCTGCGGGCACACAGTGAGCAGCTGAGCAACTCCAGCAGCAGAGGACTGGGCACCACGCCTGCCAGCTGGTACAGCAGCCTCTGGCGACCTGAAGGTTGGGAAATGTGCGGTGGATGATCAGATAGACCGCGTCAGGAACAGAGTGTACACATTCAGTTGGGATGTGATGAAAATCTGCATCCTGGAGCCGACCTGAAGTGTGTCTTAATGAGCAGCACCATATATACTGTACATATATATTTATTTATATCTGGTTTGTTCCTGAAAATTCTACCCCAGCTGCATTAAACACTGCGGACTAACAAACTAGGACAAAATGTACTGATGCTCCCTGAAAGGCAAAACTCGGGGGGAACAAGGCCTGAAAATGATCAACTGCTGAAGCTGAATCTCACCACATTCAGTCAAACTAACCAGCTGCAGACATGGACATTTGATGGGTGTTAATTTGATAATCAGAAGATAACGTTATTAAATGAAATTGCTTGGACTTTACAACAGCTTTGCATCACCTAAGGGGCCCCGCCCCCCCACTTGGTCCTATGAAAATGATGCAACAAGACATGGTCACAATCTCTACTGTGTATTCAAGACTTGTCATGGATTTCTGGTTTATTCACTAAGTGTTCCTGGAGACACACACACACACATACACACACACAGGATACTTTGTGTTAGTCCTTGAAGTTTTAGCCAAGTATGACATCACAGACTTACTGTGCTGCCCCATGAGCTGGTAGAGCCTGTTCAGAGTCTCCGTGTGTTCAGACGCCGGATGATTTGGCGGATGCTGCTCTGGACTCGAGCCGCCCTGCTGTGAATGAGGGGGCGGCGTCTTGCTGCTGTAGCTGCACACAAAAGAGGGCAGGATGGTGGGATAGTTCATGCCCCCGTTCAGCCGCCCCAGTAGTATCCCCATACGATGGGTGACCACAGGCGCGCTGCTGCTGCCTCCGCCACTTCCACAGTTGTTTTCATTTGTACTCCCCCGCTGGACAGGAAGTGATTTCATCTCGAGCTCCTCCCCCTGGCACGTGCCAGGCTCGCCGTCCGTGTGCTCCGTGGTTCCCGCACTGATGGTGTGCTGCCCACCGTTGCTGAGGCGACAGTGCTGGTGCTGGTGGTGCTGCAGCAGGTTGTGGATGGGCCTCAGCCATAACGCGCTGTTAGGACCTGAGCCTCCGCAGCCTCTGCTGGAGCTGTGGCCGTGTCCATTACCGCTACCATTAGGGCCTCCACCGCTGCCATTAGGGTTCACCTTTTTACGCCATTTGCTGAGGAAAGAAACAGAGTTGTCATAATGGAATGAAGAGCAGCTGCATCCAGACATCTGCCTCACAATGTAGATAGAGTTTATGTTTTCAGTTCATGTACATGTTAAATATTTCACAGAAAAAACACATTTAAATACGTTTTTATGACACACTACACCAGAGGTCTGCAACCTGTGGTTCTTGGGCACAATGTGGCAGCATCAAATGGACAAGATTTAATCCCACTGTACTTTAAAAAACATGATTAGAAAATTCCCATTCCTCACTTGTGCCATCCAGAGTATATCCTCTGCACTCTGCGGGTGAACTTGCGATAAAGGTGGCTAATGTAGCGTAGCAGCTCCTCGTAGCAGGAGCCCGGTTCACTGTAACTGGCGAGGGTGGAGTCGTTGGACATGTAGCGGGCGCGCTGCTCCCTCATCAGGGCGTTTTCTCTCTGCTTCGTCTCCGAGAACTGGGTGGCGATGACCACGAGGCACAAGTTGATCATGAAGAAAGAACCAACCTGGAAGAACAAAAAAAATGACTCTAATTAATATGAAATGCAGCAGGGATTATGATACATAATTATAAAAACAACTTCCTCCCTGCAGGTGAACCCAATAACACAATGGCTCCTTATTTATTTAATTGATTAATAATATGGCTTTAAACCTTAAAGGTGTGGTATTATATCTGATGATGAAACTGACTTCCTCCTGCAGCTTCTTTGAAGATATGAAATTCTATTGATCAAAGTCATGAGGTGTCCTGGAGAGACAGACGGAGCTGTCTCTGTAATATTTCATTACACTGCATTATTTAATGAGAAAATGGGAATTGTACTTGTTCTTCCTTCACGGGAAATTGACAGCTGAAGTTTGACAAAATAAAAAAGAGTCTTTGCTGTGAGTACTTTTGTATAAATGATTCAAAAAAGCTGTACTTACAATAATAAGCAATATAAAATATATAAAATTGTAGAAGGAGTGTGCGTCCATGACGTAGTACATGATATCGACCCATCCTTCCAGTGTGATGACCTGGTGACAGGGACAGAAAGAGAGACTCTGATGTAATAAAGATAAAATTCATGCAGTTCCTCCTTCACGGGGAATCACACCCACACACCCGGAGAGCCGAGCGCTCAAAATAACCAGAGTACAGCGTGAGTCATAAAGGCCACATTCCCTTCTTTCTTTAATAGACTTTCTTAGGAAGCTGTCTCTACAGAGCAAGTGTGTGTGTGTGAGTGTGTGTGTGATGGCGAGACGGTCGTAACTCTTTCATGCCATCCACAATGCTCATGAGCTTTCAAGATGCTGACACCTATAAGTGGAGGCTCAGCTCAGCCAATAATACGCTCACACCTCAGCTACTTCTGCTTATTGCTGCGTGAACTGCCTGACAATTCAAACCACACTGAGTGAAAAGGCACTAAATAAACCCCTGTGCTTTTCCTCTCTGCATTCTCTGCATTTGATAAACACACAAAGATGTTACACACACACAAACACACACACCACTCCTGGAATACCACACTTTTATTTTCTAGTGTAGAATTCCCTGCTGGTCTCTGATTGGTCATTGTGTCGCAGCATGTTGAAAATGAGCTCGGGGTCTGAGGGTTCGCTGGGGGAGTTCTCAGTGAGTCTCAGTGGGTTCTGTCTGGAGTGTCTCACTCTTAATAACCCCTGACTGTTGATCAGTAGGAATGGGCTGGAACTTGCAAATGTCAGCAGCTGCAGAATTGGGCTGAAACACCAGAAACACTTTCCTGACAAAATGAGGGGTCCGTGAAGAGAAAAGACTGAGCCAATCACCTGACTCAATGACTCACTGACCTCCATGTTCTCCACCATTAACCCGGCTTTGGAATCACAGGGAGTCTCCAAACCACTCAGGATTGTAATTGAGGCTAATGACATGCAGGTGAGACAGAGGACATGTCCTCAGCGGATGGCTTGACCAACACTTTGTCCTTCAACTCAAAAGGACGAGCAGCTGGAGTGTGTCTAAAACCTGGAGATGTTGATCAGACGCTGTGTTTCTTTGCTTTATCATCAACGTGTATTTGATTATTATTATTACAATAATCTCACCAGCCGACTGACCAGATGACACAGCTATTAAGATCACAAATACCACTAACTGACTGCATATCATCAAAACCTTAAAACCTTAACCTTAAACCTTAAAATATTTCATTCGTAGTAGTCACAATCCAAACAATTCCACTGATCCAGAGGAATAAATGTCATCCAAAAAAAGATTTAAACAGTTTCACATCTGCTCTGATGCTGAAGTCATTCTTTATGTTTCTGGGTCTGGAAAATAAAAACTGACCTTAAATGTTTTCTACATCTGGAAAATAAAAACTGACCTTAAATGAACGTTTTTACAGCTGAAAACTTTAACAAAACTCAAAGGTTTTTTTTAGGAAAACTAAATTACTAATGGAGTATGTCCAGATTTTCCTGTGTAACCTCACACTGGTCGGAAACCAATTAGGCCACACACACACACACAGTCACAGTGACATTTCAGCAGCTCCCAGGGTAACCTTGAATTTCACTTAGATGAATGAAGAAGCAGAGCCCTGAGCTGAGCTCCATTATGATTCATTTTCTTTAAATTAGCAAATCCTGACATTTAACGCTGAATCATTTGACATTAAATATACAGTAGTCATTCACACATGATCCAGAAAAGAGTTTTCCTTTCACCAACGCACCTCCAGGTTTAAGTAACATCACAATACCCAGCATGCATTTGCACGGACTCCAACTTAAGCCCCTCAGCGTAGGTCAATGATAGGACGACGGCGTCACTGACGCGGTCTGTGAGCCACTGCCGAGAACCACGAGCCTCACATTAGAGCCGCAGCAGAGAAAATAAATATATTGATTCTTTCGACACAGACAGAAATTTCAATTGCAATCAGATGTGTCAATACATAGATTTGAAAACTTGCATCGGACCCTTGAAAAATTGTCTTCTGCATATCGGGTGTTAGTTGTAAATACCAAAAATTCCTCCAGGGAAATGTAATCAAATGTAAATGTTCCCACTGCAGCAGATGTAGAGCTGACATTTGTTATTGTGACTTTACACAGAAGGCCAAAAAAAACAAAAACCAAAGATACTTTTTTGAGCCTCTGACCGTCTGCTCTGTTGTTTGTGTCTGTTTGGTTGTGTCAGTAATAGCACTGTTTAGACCAAGTGCAGGTGAAGTCATGCTGCAGAGTCAAAGCTCATGACACACACACAGACAGATCTATCAGCCAGCACTGGCCGAATCTATTAGAAAGACCACAACTCATATCACAGCGACACAGACGGTGTTCAGGCAGAGTCTCAGAGGGAGCAGCAGTCAGCAGGAGAAAATACATCTGTGGAGTCGGACTGTGTGAAAGGAAAGGTTAAAGGTCATGATGCATGAACTGTGAAGCTGTGACAGAATCATAAAAGAAAAGAAATCTATAAACAGCATTTCTTACTGGCAAATCAATAATAGAAAATCCTTCTTCTTGAACTGTGAGGTGAACCCATGAGGTGGTGAAAGTTTTCGGATAAAGATTTTAACATATTTTAATGCGTTGGCAAATGCAACATCTATACTAGATGTCTGTTGTTTCTTACCTGGAATATGGCTATCCAGGCGTAGCCAATGTTGTCAAAGTTGACGGCACCCTTGTGAGGGTTGAAGTTCCCCGGCCGGCACACATTGTAGTACTGGTTCCAGTTAACGCAGCCATTAACACTGGCTCCTCCCACCACGGGGGACAGGCCAATTAAAGCCGTATTCTGACGAGGAGCTTCCAGTGAACAATCCTTCCCGTCCTCGGAGTAGGGAGGAACTTCGTGGCAGCGTAGCATCCCGTTCTCACGGGCTGCCGAGCAGATAAACGGGCTGTCTTCACCGTCTTCTGACATGTAGTAGGAACTTATGGACAGGTTGTAGGTTCTGAAGGGGAAAGAAAAGAAAGAAATAAGACCTGAAAGTGTCAAACACCTTTTTTCTCTCCCGCTGTGTTCTCTTTTATCCTGCGTCTCTCAGCATTCACACTTGTCGTAGATATAAATTGCTGGGTGGGATTTGAGCAGAACATTATTAGAAACAAAACGAGAACAGTTCTTTCTCTTTGAAGTCAGATTCTCAGTTCTCTCTTATGTTTTTGAAGTGTATTAAAACAAACGTTACAGACAGTGTTTGGAAAATGTAACTGTCAGGTACGACGCACTAAGAAGACGCTTTTGATCAGGAATGTCAGTTAACATTTTCTCTGACATTTTTAAACTGAATTTAAAAAAAGTAAAATTATGGATAATTGTTGCAGAAGGACTGAACACATCACAGAGTTTTATTTGTGTATCTCTTAATTTCTTTTCAATAATGCACTAAAATGGCCGCACAGCTTCTGCAGCATCTCCTTCTGTTCAACTTTATTATTAAGAACGTACAAAACTGCAGACCAAAGATTAAAAATAATTCATGGAGCAAAGTAAACATTTATCTCCTGTGGGTTTTTGAATATTTTACTCAAGAAAAACTTTATTTCTCTAAACAGCACTTCTTTCCTCGGGGAGTATAATTTACTTAAGTATAGTTTTGAAAAATATACGAGAATTTCACATAATAAAAAAGTTTGTTTTTGGTTCAGTAATTTACCAATGTGCAGATGACGGCTGCCTTTTTAGTTAATTTCTTATTGTTTCTTTAGTTCAGGCTAATATGTCACATTAATTATATTGGTAATGAATGATAAACATCAGTGACAGAATGACAGTGTTCTCTGTCTGTAACTACAGATACTGATTGACTTCTATCAAATTTAGGTCTCTTAGAAATAATAAGAAGAAAGTGACATCAACAGACACAAACACCACATGACTTACGTTCTTATATCCTCCCCCAAGAAGCAGCGGTTGCGCAGAAGCCCCGCCCACAGCTGGACTCCCACGATGCCGAAGATGAAAAAGACAAAGAAGCAGAGGAGGAGGACGTTTCCCAACATGGGCAGCGTGTCCAACAGCAGAGTCACCAGGATCCGCATACCTGAGTGTGGGAAGACGAGACGGTATTCACAGAATCTGCACAAGGTCAGATCAATGTTCACCACCTGGATTCTATTTAATATTAAAGCAGCAGTTTATTTCAGCTCACTTTGGCTATCGTGCAACCGGACATCCTCCACTGATCCAGTGAGCTTGGAACCCACAACAACCTGCCTCCAGCCAATATAAGTATAAAAATACTGGAAGTGACAGTTTGACAGTATTCTCTCCTTGAGGACCAGAGTTCCAGCTCTCCTTCGGCTGGTTTATCTAACCACACGTGCGCAGCATCTATCTGAGATGTCAGATACGGTTAAAGTCAGCACTGTCTGGGGTCCAGTCCCTCAGGTCAGCACTGTGTGCTGTGTCCTTTACAACACATATCACTGCCCTGTCATGTGAACCACACTGACAGGACTTACATCTGCGCTCAGCCTGGGAGTTCATTTTTTACTGAACAACTGATGAATATCAACAACTTGGAATTATGGGTTTTAAAGTTATCACAATAATAAGATGTGAGCGACTGAACCCATCCTGGACCACAGGTTTTAATAAATAATAAATAGAAATTTAAACATGTAGCTGAAATATGTTGACTTTTAAAACCCAACCAATGGCCCTGATTGGACCAAGGGTCCTCACCAGAAATGTGAAGAAACGCAATTCACTGGTAGAAACGTTTTCTGCATTTTACTACCGAGAGTGAAAATGGTTTTTAAGAATGGATCGATCTGTTGTCACATTCGTTTCCTGAGTGACAATACATCCTGTCACTGTTGTTTTATTTCAGACTATTGTTGAAAATGTTTTTTTTTTTTTTTTTTTGGCTACAGTCAATAGAAGTGAGTGAGTGTCTGTGTGTAAACACCAGCAGTCAGTTGGTGGAGGTTTTGCAGAACTCCTCAGATGAAGCAGCCTGATAAACACGGAAAAAACAAGCAGCGCTGCTCATGGTTTCTAGGCCGCGGCAAGAAAAAGTGTTTAACATCTGTCCAACAAATATTTCCTATCCACTTAGGGAAGGATAAACAAAGTAGACAGAGTGATAGCAGACTGCTTAGAAATAAACAGATCCCAAACCGACAGAAGGAACGACCTCAGCCTGAGTGTGAGTTTGAGCCGGGATCAAAAACTCACTGTCACTGTCAAAGTCAGGAAAGTCAAGGAGTGTCGTTGTGTGAAAAGTTCATAATAAGTGTTAAGAATGATCAGTTTTAAATGAAATAAAAGTCAATTGGAGAGTAAAAAACTGAAGGGCCTCATAAATAAAACTAAATGTTATCAGCATAAATACTGATCTTTTGTATTTTGTAAATATAAATCTAAATGAGGCAACTTAGATTCTGTTGAAAAAAAGAATAGGAACCTTTTTGAAAGTACCATGTTTTAAAAAACATAAAAGTAGGTTTTTAAAATTTCAGTGCTGAGGCTTGAGGTTAGCTTTGTTTCTTCGTGTCTCCAGCTGCACAGACCTTGATCTCAGTGTCTCAGATAAAAACCCTCTGTTCACCCTCGCTGCACTTCTGCTCTCAAAACTTGTTACAATAATTCAGGTCTCGCTTCACCTCGTACGTGGTTCCGAATATCATTCCTCAGGTCTGTTGTTAGATTACAAATGAGGTCAAATCTAATCTTGAGCTGAGTTTTTGTCTCCACCAGAGGAAGACAATGAATTAGTGTGTCCAAAGTCATTGTTGCGATGATGTTTTTGGCCACTGGCAGACGACCTGTCACTGGACGCTCTGCTTAACTGTCCTTTTATAGCTGTAATGACATTCATTTACCTGTCAAGATATTCTGATTGGTTTAACACCAGGACATTTTAAAAGTTCAAGAGTCTAAAACTTTACTGGCTGTTTTTTTTACGATCGGCCCAAACACACTGTGTAACGCAAACAGCCAGACATCGAGCTCATCCGTGATCCTGGCGACAAAACAGTTTGGGAATAGAAAAAAAAAAGAATGTTTTTGTTCAAATTTCTGGCCATAAACGTCTAAAAAAGGTAAAATAAACAAAATGACTGCAGCGAGAACTCAACACACGTCGTTCTTGCCTCGCCCCTAATGGATGCTGGGTTGATAATTCTGCATGTTGTTATGACACTATTGTCTGCCTTTCCTCTTCGGCTGGTGAATCATCGCCACTTCTGTCACAGAGCTTTTAGGAAAATGACAAATAATGTGTAAGTTCGCTCACAGCGCAACCTGGAGACGTGAGACTTAAAGCCTTTGGATCATGAGCCAATTTACTGTTGGCTGATTCGAGTACACACAAGGAAATACTTAGCTGTGAAGGCTACCAGGAAGACTTCAAATCAGCAACAAGTGCTTATCGTCTCATAAAAGCATCATGTTTCGTCACACCTTTTACAGCAGGGATTCAAAAAGTGGGGTGTGGGCCCCTCCTGGGGGTCGCAGCTCTATTGCTGAGGGACAAATCGTGCAGGGATGAATCCATCTGATTCTAAAACTACTCCTTTCATCCAATCAGGTGGGAACACTCAGCCATTCTCAAAAGACTGTGTGTGTTACTGACTTACTCGGAACTCTGTTGATGGCCCGCAGAGGCCTGAGCACTCTGACGGTACGGATGGCCGACAGACTGGCGTTGTGGCCGTCCAGAGAGTACTCCAACATCCTGAGGACACATGTATCAGTTAGGTTCATATTCAAGCAGTCCCTGCATTCTTAATACTGTCACTGACTGTGGTTCCAGTCTGTGGAGATACATTATTTATTGTACTTTCATTAGAAATGTCTGTTTGTAATAAAAATGAGAAAAAAAGTAAAAATGATCTCAATAAAGCCTGAAGTTGGGATGTTAATGTAATGTATTCCACTCTGTGTGCAGCCTGACTCTGCTCTGCTCAGTGACAGTGTCATATGCTGCAGTACAAACTTTCTAGCCCTAATAAAGTCAGTGTGTGAGTGTGTGTATCTGTCAGGAGAAAAAAAAAGTTTTTTTCTGATTGTTTGTTTTTTATGCAGAAGGGTTACCATTCAGCTACAGGTGACACAAATAACAATGGATCAACAAAGCATCATGGGACACCCACCCTGCCATGACGATGACAAAGTCGAGTTGGTTCCATTTGTCTCCAAGGTAACAGTTGGGCCCGAAGATTCCCAGGGCCACCATCTTGATGACCATTTCCACAGCGAAGAACACGAAAATACAGTCATCCAACGCCTGTCGAAGGCACACCAAAAAAAAAAAAGATAATTAAAGCAAAATAAAACCTGACTGAAGAATAACTGTCAGTTACAGATTTTAGGGTTTTTTGTATCAGCTAATTCAGATTCAACTATAAATATTTGCCAGTTACACATACAGTATTTTTTCAGGGACAGTTAAGAAGCTATACTGTGTTCTAAATACGGTTGTGGTTGAAACTGGTTAAAAAACCAGTGAATATATTTTTTTAAAGATATCTGTGAAATAGGACATGCATGTTGTATTTCCCACACCAGATCAGAACCTGCTTCTTTAAGACTGAAGTTTTTCCCTAATTCTGTTTTTATATTTGTATGTTTTTACTAACCTGCAGGATTCTGCACCACTCTGACTGACAGGTCACATCCTCACAGGGCTGGAACATCCCCAGAGTCACACAGTTGAGCAGGATCACCAGCATGGACACGTGTTCAAACCACGTGCAGGAGAAGGTTAAGGTAAACACACAGGATAGACACACACACACACACACAAAATAAACATGACAATACTGAAAGTGACACGCACTGCATGGAACAGTCACAGCTCAGGCGTGACACACTGCATGGAACAGTCACAGCTCAGGCGATCCACTGCCGTACTAAACCTAACATGTTAGCTTAATGCACAGCCGACTGTAACAGGAGTCGACGCCGGTACGTATTTTTCGTTTGTTGCCCATAAAACTGCTTTGGTTTTGCAGTTTAGTTGTGCTTGGACGCAATTACCCAGAGACTTTGTTGAGTTCGACATGAGACAAACGAGGAACTGAGATCCACCATAAGTGTATGGGAGTAAACAAAGCTGCCATTACCACACTGTAAATGATGCTACAGGAGGATGGGAGTGAGTCTAATGCACCTCATTGGTCTAATAATGCTGGTCCAAATTAGAGGCTTTTATACAAATAATCATTTAAATGGATTCATGTCTATTGTCCATCCTGCAGCAGAGGACACTAATGTTGACTAATGACAGAAGTAATTGCCAAACAATAGTGCGAGCAAGTACCAATAATGGATTCAGAGTTGTCCTGTCATCTAAACCATTCATTTCAGTCATCTATCTACTCTGTTCTGGATGAGCCGCACATATAGAATCACTTTGGCATGATGACGAACTCATCAGTGTTTTTAAACGATAATTTTGGTAAATATCATACATTTCTTCGCAGTCTATCATCAGCGTATAAAGAACAAAAAAGTTAAAGAATATAAGCAGTCTATCATCAGAGTATAAAGAACAAAAAAGTTAAAGAATATAGAGGTATGGGAGAAGTAGAACAAGAACAAGTGGAGTTTTTTTTTTCTCAAGTTTTCTGTCTGGCTTGTTTCCCAGATACAAGTACATACTCTGCAGTGATACTTCGGGTGCACTTGGAGTTGCAGTACTGTAGTATTCCCCGGGTGTAGTATAAGGTGTTACAAGGTGTATTCTCAATACACACACAAACAAAAGTGCATGCATGAATACTAAGTGAAGAATTAGGTTTTGTTGAACTTAAAAGACACACGCGTACACGTACATATCAGTAAGAAAGTACTTCTTAGCCTTCTCTTCTGTAGTCACTCCTCAGTGAAGCCACTGCTTCTCTCTCTCTGTACTGGCTGTATCTTGCAGTAACATTGTCAGACTATCCAGTCATGAGCTGGATTCCTGCTCTGATTTTCCACTCTATCTTTATGAAACCAGTGACGCCACTGGAATACTCACTGTGTACTTTCGTGTACGTACTTCCACCTTTTGTGCATTCAGCCCAGCCTACAGTATCAGCTGAATTGAGTTATAAAATAGCCTCAGCTCTGCTGCTGCCAACCACAGTAAGCCTGACACTGTAGTACTACGTACTATGATTTTTTTATTCTCCTCATTTACAATGGATGTCCTTCCAATGAAAGGCTGCAACAATCAAGAGAAGAACAAACAACTCCAAAGTTTAGGTTGTATCCACAACACAACGCTGCCAAGTTCTTGTAATCTTTACTGCAGTGTATGTTGTCGTTAGAACTGTTTAAGAACTGAATCGATGCCATTAATCATGCACTGCTTATCTAAGGGACATTTGCACAACAGATAACTTTGGTATTTTGTACAAAAAAAACCCACTTAAAACTACTCTGAATAAAAAGTTCCAACCTTTAAAGAAAAGTTAAAGTTGTTCAAATGACGAGCTGCAGAAATTACATCATTTTTAATAAAGGTACTGTTTATTTTTTAAACCTAATTTAGTGTGTAAATGACACAGTTCTGGTGATAAATCAGTCGTGTTCATGCAGAGATGACGGTTTCATCCATTTTGATTCTAACCCAGGTTCAACAAAGGTTTTATATGAGTGATGTCGATTCCATCAACATTTTTAATTAAATTATTTTTGTTGTTGTTAAAAATAGAGCCGTCCAATTTCCGTAACCGACTATTAGTGACAGTTTAGTACAGTTTAGGTGAAAACTTTAAGACAATTAGAAAGGCAGACACAGATGTGGAGATAAAAACCCAAATATTCCTATCTGCAGCACAGCAGCAGCTACTGCTGTTCTGTCTTTCCAGTACTGCATTCCACCTCTGAATCTTTTAGTGGGATGCCACTGAATATTTCAGTGATATGCAGCTCTGGCCTGTAAAGGCCTTCTTTTACCTGTGGTCAATATAACTGAAGTGATAGTATAGGGGAGATTTAAAATACAATTCTTAAACCCAAAAAGTTAAGAGAAATGTCAACGTACATGGTAAAACTGATCTTAAATCAATTGAAAATGTTTTCACCTTTAAAATATACAGTGAAAAAAAATAAAAATCTGTGATTCGTCTTCTTTCCTCTGGGAGCAGTTGGCTATTTCCGTCTTCAAAGCCATACAACTGGCAGGAAGCCTGAGAAATAAAGGGTACAGTGAGTGGGTCCAGTTCAGAGGACTGGTTCCCACAGGGACCGGGGTTAGGACTGCTGGTTTGACTCGGAGGTCCGCAGACTACAAATAGGTCCACGGTGTACTCGGTCTGACTAATGTGCAGAGCTGCGCTCTTTAAAACAGTCCACACAACAATAATATAAATTGGTTTGAAAACATCTTATGTAAAAGAGAATCAGTATGCAGGAACACGTGCTCTCAGACATCACACGTTAGCAGTGTAAGGTCGCTCCTCACTTCTCAGATGAAAGATACAGTATAATCTCCAGCAGAATTAAAATGAGAGATTTGAATATTCAGCAGATCCTTCACCCTTGTTGTTCTCCGTGTCCCTGTGCTCTGCTTCCTCTAATTCCTCTCTAATCTTCACAGTCAACACCTCCTGAGCCCCCTTCTGTCTTTAGCTCTCTCCCACACACACACACACACCCGCAGAGGGACGTATGCATGCGAGCGCGCACACACATATAGAGTACGTGTCCTAGAAAAGACTCTGTGACTCTCTGCTGCACAGGGATGGGAACAGAACTGGGCTGTTGTTTAACTTCATGTTTTCCCGGCGTTCCTGCACATGCTCAGTGCTCCTCAGCCCAGCCTTACAGTGATGTAACGCTGCTACAGGCAAGATCAACTATAGGGTACAGTCGGTGCCGACGGTCAAGTTAACCAGTCTCACTGGTTAAGGTCAAGTTATATCTCGGTGCTGAGCAATCACATGACATCACTGTTGTGTCACATGGTGGTCTAGTGTGTTTTTATTGTAAAATAAAATGAACAGTGGTCTCATGCGTGTGTTTTTATTGTAAAATAAAATGAATAAAAATTGTCATCTTACATATTTCAGCAAAATAATTATATGAAATGCTGAGACTGTTCTGGTCAAAGTTTCTCCAGAAAATAAATAAAGTAGTTCCTCTGAGCAGGACTTCAACGTAGATGCAGATTTTAAAAAGTAAAACTTGACATTCAGCAGCAGTTTCTATTCTCATACCCTTTGTCCATGTTTGTAGTCAACTAATCATCCTCGGGGAAAAAAAGAAAATGAAATCCCAGATCAGGTTGCAACAGGAAGGGACAAGTTTTTATGTGGACTCCCACTGAGAAACTGACAGCCCAAAGAGATACACCAACTTCAACTGTATGAGCTGCACTCATCCACATCAACAATGGCTACATTGTTATAGTTAATGAAAAGGTTAATGTTGATTTTTTAGTTTTAATTCCATTTAAAAAAAGATGTTTGTAAACATGTGTCGCTGTACGTCTTTATATAAATAAAATGTTCTACAATAAAAGGTTTGTACGATACAATCAGCAAAGCTCGGTTCAACTGGTTCCACATTCTGTCATAGTAATGTCTCACACCTACGGCAACTGTGATAACACTCACACAGAGCGACTACAGTAAGTGAATATATACACACCAACACAAATGCCCAGTGTCTGTATGCAAATGTGTTTTCATGATGCAGTACTGATTCCAGGGTTCTTTTTATTTCATCTTTTTTTCACTCTGTGCTGCTGGGCTTGAAAACCACACAGGGGACTGCACATATGCATGTGTGTGTGTGTGTGTGTGTGTGTGTGTGTGTATTCTTGGTAATGCAAAACAACTCCCCTACACAATCCATTAGGCTTCCACAGATGCAGAAAAGCATGACAACGCTGTACAGATCAGCCTGCAGCAGATGAACTGTCAAGACTGTGTCAGCGTATACCAGAGGTGGCAGCACCGAGTACAGGGAATATGTAAGAGGCTGCAGTAAACAGTACTCCAGGAGCAGACCTCATCATCATGTATTCACAGTCAGTGTTGTGTATTGTTAAAAAAAAACATTAATGTGCAGTTAGAAGGAACTCACTACAGTTAACATTGTTTTGGATGGGTTTTTTTTTTGTTTGTTTGTTATTTGTTTTTGTTTTTTTGCATGCCTTTTCAACGTTTCTGATTACAGGGGGAAAAAGCCAGTAGGTGGCACTAATGCAACTTAAAAGATGCAGATCTACTCTTATAAACTAAGAGATGAGGCAGGATGGAAGAGCAGATGGAGTTAGCTTAGCTTAGCCAAGATATTCATTGGTCTCAGATGCTAACGTTGAGCTCAACAGTATGAAAATAAATGCCAGAATATTTCAGTCTGCCTTCATCGTCTCGATCTGACGGCCCTCTCCTGTTAAACGCTGAGACATTTTAGTGGTTGAAAAATCAGGGTTCGTTTCCTTCCATCATAGTGGTTCTGGTACCATCCCAGTAGCTTCATCGCCGGCTCTCAGTTCATGATCAGAACGTATCTGTAAATCTTGTGGAACGCTCAGCTCTCTGTTCTTTGGGAGACCATAAATTCCCCCTGTCTCTGAGCTGTATTTTTGTTTGGCGTTGAGCCCGTACAAAAAGACAAATCTTCTCAGGTTGTAAAAACGATGACATAATGTAACCAGATGACATCGTTCGTCCACTTTGTCCTTTTCTTACCACTGCAACCCCAACCAGCATCTCTAGGAAATCTAGCTTTAAATAATGGTCCCAGTTTGT